AAGAAGATATTTTACCCATATTCTTCAAAATATCTTCTTTTGTGTACAACAGAAGAAAGAAATTCATACAGGTTTGGAACAACTTCACGGTGAGTAAATGATGACAACATTTTTATTTTGAGACAAAAAAATAAATAAATGCCAGCCCTTCTTTTATTTGATCAGTTGCCCACAATAACTAGAACTAGAAAAAAGAACAATAACTATAAAGATGGGTTAGTATAATAACTATATTAGCGTCCACAACAACTGACGATAACATTGTTTATTCTAAGAGCACAGCAAATGTTCAAGCTCTTTAAAGTCGGCTAGATTCAGATTGGCTGTCAATCGATGTTTTATTGTTCATAAACTGAGGGAAAAAAATACGATATCATTCCTCTATCGTTATAGCTGTGGTGTGGACTTTCCTATTCTCATAGAATAAGAACTTTAGTTATTTTTATTATTATAGTTATCTTTCTTGGTGCGAATGGGCCTTGACTCACTCAGTACCTTTGGCTTAAATAAAATAAAAACAACTTACAAAGGTACCAAGAACAAAAGAGAGAAAAACAAAGCAAGGAAGGCCAACTTTACAGGAACATAGACAGAAAGACAAAGACCTGCATCAAGTTTTCCTGAGTGATGGAGGGTGTGGTTAAAGAGCTCTGTCTTCAACTCTGTGTATAATATCAGAACAGAGAGGCCAGGGAAAAGAAGCCCGTTATAATATGCACATTTTTAATGTTAGAGAATATGAAACTGAGCATCAAAGCTTATGCAGATACTCCTGCCTCAGTACTTGTTCAGGTCTGGAGACCCCAGGGAGTTGAGAGTGAACTCGGGTAGCTTTTAAGAAGTAATAAGACGAGCAACGGTTATCTAGATAGGGTAGAACCAAAAAAGAAAGTCTGTTTGCACATAAACACGGTTGTGTTTGCATGCGATCAGTGGCCAACATTGCTTTTATATCCACAGACACAAGTGTATTCTCACTCTCTGCTCTCGGGGTCAAAGGGATAGATCACATAAAAATGATAATTCGGTCACCATTTACTCATGACGTTCCTTGTATGACTTTCTTTCTTCACATTACTCTTTTCCCAATATAAGAAAATACCAAAAGCATCATAAAAGTAGCCTTTTACACAACCACACAAAGTAGAATATAGTACACAACTAATATGAGCTATGAGATATAATTTCTGCCGCTTGACAGCCCCTTGTCAACATTAACCTACATTGTATAAAAGCAGCATGAACAATCTGGTGAGTAAATTATGGCAATTTTTATTCCGGGTGAAGCTTCCCTTTAAGCTTCGGCATGCAGTTTTACCCTCTGTCCCTCGGAAATCTCGCAGGAATCATGCACATTGTGTTCAACAAAGGCACCAGTTGTAAATCTAGACTTCAGAGCGTGTGTCATGTGATGGAGGAGCTGTCTCTCATTTCCCTGCCATAGAGAGGGTTTCTCTGATATAGCAGCTGTTTCTCTGATGAGTTGGAGAATCTGGGAAACATTGTCTGGCGAGATCAAAGTGAAGCGGGGCTGTAATTACCACGGTAACCAACAGTAAAGCTGTTAAATTAAGCAGGCTCAACCTTCAGTCTGTTAATGAGAAATTTCTCTCCACTCATTAGAGAAGGCATTTATGAGGCGAGACAAAACCGCACACTGGGGTCTGGAGAGTTATTTATTGATTGAAGGCATTTATCATACCTAAACATTCAGTAAATAAAGTGTTACAAAGTTACAACGGAACTAATCAGGTCAGAGCTACTCTACATACAAGACTACACTAAAGCCAGATTCAATTAATCAAAACAAAAGAAAGAACATTGAAAATCCCTTCGGAGAAACTTCCCAAGGTCCAATTTGCCTGAGAAAATGGTAAAACTACATAGACGCAAGGTTCACTAGTGAAGTCTGCTGGCCAGCTGCTACTAGTCGACACTAAAAACAATAGTCTATTACATAGAAGAAGAAAAACACAAGAGATTGTATCGTTCAAATTACTGTCGTTTTAATGTTACTGTGAAGAGCAGGGAGCGAGCCGTGGAAACGGAGAGAGGCCGATGGCGCGATTGTTAATGAATGTCACTGCGTGCTGCACCAGTCTGGAGTCCCAGGAGCTCTGAAGGATAAGAGGAGGAGTGACGACAGAGGAAGAGGAGAGAAGGCCAGGCCTGGGCATTTAAGCTGTGTTTTGTCTGTATGGGCAGCATTCGGCTATGAACTTGCACCTGCCGTTTACTTTCGTTTTATTTATTTAAAAACGTCCTTTTACCGTTAGCGGTTACCTCTTCTTCCCTGCACCATTAACTTTGATACATTTATATTTAAAAGCATTTTAAAAAGCACATTAAAATAAAACACTTGGAAAAATAATAGGCTACTTCAAGATAGGGTAGGGCCTAATCTTTTTATTTGACCTGTCAGTCACGGAGAGCGCAGAATTGACCGCTCAAAATGCAAACATGGTGCGGGAGTATTTTGAATTAGAGATAAAACAGAAAAGTTTTAATGTAAGCTGTGCCATTTCAAACTGGCATAATTCCACTAGAGCCATCATAACCATATTCAGGACATGCACGTAGGTGTGATAGCCGAAGCAAGAAGGTGCATTGCATATTCATTTCGATTCCGGATAAATAACCGAGCTTAGAATCAGAATTAGAATGAGCTTTATTCGCGTGTGCGGCATTTATTATGTGATTTGACTGTTTGATTCATAGATTAAGTGCTCAAATGGATCGTATATACACAAGTCTTTAGAGGGTTTCTTACTTTTAGACTAGTCGGTAACAAAACTTCTGTTTAAACGACTTTCAAATTAGTGATGCGCACATCCCTATTTGAGCTGTCACAATTACAGATGCGCAGCTTTAAATCATTTCCAAAAGACCTAAAGCTTTGAAAGAGCACAAGTTTTTAATCTGTTATTAAATATCATATCAAATTTCCATTTTTTGTTTTGAAAATGGGACTGAAACAGCTGTCTATTTTATAACGAGGTCGATGGTAGCAAAGGGAGTTCTCGGATCTCCTGAGACGCTCCAAAAGGGATTTGTCAAGGCCTTGGTCGCTCATTGACTGTAAACACAGGAAATGTACAGCTGGATCCAGAACCTAATACTGTAGACTATGTATGTATGTACTATACACTACATCACCCCCCCAAAAAACATGACTAGACCTAAATGCAAAACATTCCACTATGTTGCCTCGAAAGTGAGTGACAAGCATCAATGATGCACAAAGAATGAGACTGTATGCCAAGTAATGACTACAACAGCTCCCCATTGAGACTTTATAATGACTGGTAATGAAGCACCATGACCTATCAATAACAGCTTAGCATTATTGCAGTGGGCGGCAGTGTAGGGCTGTGGTAACAGCAGTCCCAGCAAATCTGACCTCAACTATATCAGCTTAAATAAAGATCAACTGTGTCACTGTGCCACGAGAGAATAAGAATACTCTACGAAACAAGGTCAAGTGATTGTTTTATACAATGGAATATAAAACCGATCTGGCAGCCGAAGAGCAACAACTGCAATGGCAATGACATTTTAACTGTGTGTGGGGTTTCCAATCCTGCTCCAACCTAAATTAAACACCTGAACCAGCCGATAAAGGTCTTACTAGGCATACTAAAAACTTCCAGGCAGGTGTGTTGAGGCAAGTTGGAGCTAAACTCTGAAGGACAGTGGCTCCAGGACCGAGTTTAGACACCCCTGGTGAGAGCTTTTTCCAGTTGTATGGTCAGTAAAGTTTAAAAGGTGTGATCACAGTGACATTTTTGGTGACATTTCACCAGCAACCTGGGTGACCATCTTAAACACATTGCAAAATCTGTGTGGGCAAATCTTTCACCCTCATGCACATGGATTCCTATTGAAATGACTGTATTTCACCTGTTCAAATGTGACTGCACCTTACAAGTTGGCAAGAAACAGAAATTGCAATTCATCTCTACTGTGACGTATATACAGTAGGGAAGCACCGAAATGAAAATTCTGGGCAGAAACTTATTTTTTTTACTATTTCAAATAAGCTTATTTTTGTATTAATATGATACTTTTTAATTAAATTCAATAATTTGAATGATACTGAATTTAAACATTTATTTATACATCAATAAAATAACACTTAAGTGTTCACTGTATAAATTAATTAAATGTAGATTAATCTGTGTTAAAGCTGTGTTTTGTTGTTTGATTATTATTAATGACTCAGCAGCAGATATTTATAGGCTGCTGTCACTTTAAGACTGAATGCACAGATCCAATATAATGATACACATCTGATTTCTTTCTCAACTCTTTATGTTCACTTAAGACATAACCGACTGTGTGTTAACGAGAGACTGGTATTTTATATATTGCAGAGACTGGTATTTTGACATAATTTTGTGTGTGTGTCCAAAAGAGGAATCTAAAACGCACCTTTCTGTGAGTGTGCCCTTCGAGTTGTGTGGCTGTGCTGTGCTCACAGATAACAGCGCACGAGTACCGAAATAATGGTGAAACTTAGCAATTAATCCACAAAACGCATGTGAGCGGAATATTGAGTGGAGCGCCACACCGCGCACTGATAATGGCTAGAGCAAGAGTAAAACCTAAGCGCTGAACACTGAGGGGCGGGGTGGGGCGGCATATATTCTCGGCTCATATTTTCGGACTTTCTGCCAAAAAACTAAATTTGGGTGCATCCCTAATATACAGCTTCTTGAACAAGAAAAAAAAAAGTAGCGTTAGACTTGGATTTTGTCCAACACAATTTGACTGGATAGTTGGATTGTTGTCGTTCCCATGTGAGGGACAGGTTGCAGGAGAGGAGGAAGTAGCCTACTGTCCATGTTTTTGATTAAAGAGTAAGAGGGCAAATCAATTCTAACAAATATAATGTGCACGGATAAATTATTTATAATAAACACTGCAATAATCTATAAAACAATATATAAACAATATATGGAGCATACTAATAGACTTCTGTATGATGTTCATAAAAATACCCAAAGAATCTTCAGCGTTTCTGTCCCAAGACGGGCCACAATCCTCCTCTTCTCCTTCCACAGCCCTCTGCTCACCTGAAACAACCACAAAACAAACACAGTTAAAGCCCATTTACACTTCGGATCGATCGGATAGCTGTCCAATTGGGTATGCACAATCCATTTACACTCGGCTACATAAATGTGTCTCCACAAATCAGATATAAATCTCATCTACTACTCCCATGCTATATGCAAACATAGTTCACTTCTGTGATGATGCTAAAGCCAGCCGGTGAAATTTTCCACATCATATGGAATAAGTATTTGAGATCTTTCTATGCATCTCATCCATGACTGTGTGACTTCCGTATGCTGTCACAGACTTGTTAAGAGTAAACTTTACATGTGCGACTTAAACAACCAGAGGCATTTACATTTGGTCTTCTCATGATCCTGTAATTATCCAATTATGAAAACGGATTAAATGAATACCCCCGCAAAGGACCTTTTAACCACATAATGTGTCCAGCACACAGAAAAGATTGTTTGAGACTAAATAAATATTAATAAGAAATAAATTATTCACTTGACATTCTTGATCCATACTGACTACCCTTGTTAGACACTCCCTTGTGAAACAGGGGGAAAAAGGGATGTGGAAAGAGAGAAGTTTATTCACCTGTACGCTAATTCAGCACAACTATGTCTTCAGCCTCTGTGAGCATCTAAGACTGCAGAGATAATCAGTTCCAACACCTTCTTTTGATTTCGAAAGCAGGGCTTACTAATGTACGCAAGTACACAAACATGCTCTCGCACACCATGGTCTGAAAAGTCCACAAACACATGGAACAAGCCTCCACTGTAAACACGCTGCCTCTTTAAATCTTCAGCTGTAAATTATGAATGTTCTGAGTGTAACAGTGTGATAGACAAGAGCCCTGGAGTCCCATCAGGGTAAAACACAAAGCTTACATCCCTCAACTTGGATGTGTGTGTGTGTGTGTGTGTGTGTAAGGGTCAAATGGAGTCAGCACCACACAAGGACACAAGCAGATGCTGAAGCACTCAGTCAATAACGTTTAGCCCCCAGACACCGTTGACCTCACCGGGAGGTCCGTATGAAATCGCTCTTTACCGTCTGTATGACTATAATCTGCTGTACAGTCAAGGGAGAAATGATCTCTTTATACGATGTATTACTGAGGTTTGCTTATTGATTATTCATAATGCTTCACAAAGTGGCTCTCTATGTCTCTGAATAATGTATAAGAGACTCAAATACATGGTATTAAAATAAAACGAATCAACTTTAGGGCTTTTATTTGTGAAGTTTTAGAAAGTGGGACATCCTGTGTTTTTGTAATGAATAGTATAATGAGCAATGTGAGAGTACGATGTTGGTGTGACAGTGCGAATTCATTAATCATATTAAATTGGCTTGCATTGATTGTTCATCTGAGTGATAATAAGAGCATTTAAAAAGAGCTTAAACTGAAGTTCATGAGCCAAATGAGATGAGGCCAAATATCTACCGTGCAGTGTTGGCAGCTGCCATAAATAACAAAACAACAAGAACTCTGCAAATGGATTTCACATACAGTGCATGAACTGTGCTTCTATAACAAGAATTTATGGTGAAAACATTGCAGATTTTTATTTTCTGAAGAAAATGTCAGCAGTGCTTGTCATGTATGCTGTAATGGAAGTCTATGAGATTTTCTCGCCTGTTTTATTGTTCACCAGGCGAAGTCCGCTCAATTCTTGCCAGAATAAGTCTGCTGCGTTTGCAAGTGTGGTTGTCTTCAGCACAGTCTATGATTGCTTTCCATACAAGGAAAATAAAGTCATCATATACGCTACCGTTCAAAAGTTTGTGGTTGGTGGTAATATTTTTTTAATGATTTAGAAAGAAGTTATTTATGCTCACCAAGGCTACATTTATTCAGAAAAAACAGTAATATTGTGAAATATTACAATTTAAAATAACGTTTTCTATTTTACGATGTAATCTGAATTATCAGCAGTCATTACTTCAGTCTTCAGTGTCACATGATCTTTCAGGTACCACTATGCTTATTTGGTGCTAAAGAAAGTCACAATTAAAGAGCGCAAAGTGCATTTAAAAAAATTAAATATGTAACATGATTTAAGCACTAAATAGAAACTCCAGCATTGTGAGCAACATATGACAACTTTGTCTTCACCTTAAAGCAACTAGTTGTCGCCTGTTTTTTTTTTTTACTCTGATGGATGATGTAGTTTAGTGTTTCACCACAGTATGACACTCTCACCATTCATCACCACTGTCAATATCACAATCATATCTGCCACTCAGCTCCCATAGAAAAGTAAAAGCACATCCTTCTATTCATGTTTGGAGCACAAATGGTCTAAAACTTGAGGGTGTGTAAATTATTATTTTTTTCTTTAAGGCAAAACCCCCATGTTGTCGGGTCCTGTTGGTCAGTAAATAATCAATTTTCATTTTTGGGCCTACTATTCCTTCACACATACAGTAAATGACCCATCATTCACATGTACCCAATGGCACAAGGCCAAGCCACCTCCAAATGTAAACAATTACTCTTTGATTAAAGCTTTCCTCTTCAAACATTGCGTAGTGTTTACCCCAATAGAGCTGGCGATAAAATATCAGCAGACGGCCAAGTCTGTGCATGTATTTGTGTTTGTCCACCGAAATGGTTTTCAGTGAACACGTTTATCTCGGCCACACACACACTTTATAAGCAGTCCTGTGATGTGACCTGGAGTCTGTAGTTGCACATAGGCTGAACAGTGTGCTGTGTGTGACTCCATACTGCATCATTGCTCAGTGTGGCTTCATGATACAGACACAGGCTTTTTTTCTTTTTGTCCAACTCCAACCCTTAAGTGTGACTAACAACACTCTCTTGTCCAATTCTGATTATGTCAGCACTCACTAGCAAAAAAGTTGCTCAGCTTGACTTAAGTAAAATGTCTTTTTAAGTCCTTCGTGTAAATCTGGCATTTGTTACACTGAAAGCTTGATCATGGTAAAGTTTTAACAGCAGACAAAAATCATTCCGATATTGAAAGAAAAATATTATAATTAACATTTAACATGACATAAAACACATTTATAGTCTTTTAACATCACAGTACAATGCTGCAGCCTTTTCATGGTCTCTCACGGACGGTAATGGCTGTCAGCACATCACTGAATAAAACAGCAGCAGGTGTTTTTGTTGTCGTTTAAAAACACTAGTTTAGCAACAGACAAACAGATTTAACAGGGTATGGTTAGAAGTGCACACAGCTGTACCCAGGCCTAAATTAGACCGGACTGACTGCATGTCAAAAAGAGAAGCAAAATTATAGCCTTCAACCCTCGACTCTGGTATTAAACTTAAATTGGAGAGCTTCAATGATGTCATTATTACCAGCCATGTGACCAAAACGGAAGAGGCCCTGACTATACCAATAATGTCTAATGAAAAGTCTTTTTAAAAAAGCAAATGTATATTATCATGGGATTAAAATATGGATATTTTTAGGGTTAAATGAGCTTATCATTTGTGACCCTGGATCACAAAACCAGTCACAAGCACGGGTATATTTGTGGCAATGGCCAACAATATATTGTATGGGTCAAAATTATCGATATTTTTTTTATGCCAAAAATCATTAGGATATTAAGTAAAGATCATGTTCCATGAAGATATTTAGTAAATTTCCTACCGTAAATATATAAAACATTTATTTTTGTGAGTGAATGCAGCACAATCGCAAACATAAATGTAGAACTTTAAAGGCGATTTTCTCAATGTTTAGATTTTTTTGCACTCTCAGATACCAAATAGTTGCATCTCGGCCAAATATCAGGTGATGTATAAATCTCAATTTCAAAAAATATACCCATGTGACTGGTTTTGTGGTCCAGGGTCACATTTGGTCCTAGTCTCCCACAGCTGTGGCCATTTCCAATTGGAGAAGTGTGTATTTTTTTAAATGTTTGAAATACTTGCCTAAAATAGTATTATATATTATTGTAAAAATTATTTACATTTTTAAAATATGCATAGGTTGACTTCCCAATGAATATATACTATTTGTCAAAAAAATGGGAGCAAACAGCGGCAGGAGTGCGATGGAAACCTGTTCGTAAACAATTCTGATTTGTGTCGACAGTGGTGAAAAAATTACACACTAGAGTACACCTTATTGTGAATTCATGTTCACAATTTTACTCTCATAATGTGAAATGATATATAAAACGATATATAAAAATAATAAAACAATTAATAAAAATAATAACTAAAGTTCATAATAAAAAAAAGAAAATAATAAAAAGAAGTGTATTTGTAACGTGTCTTAATAAATGAAGACACTTTAAATAAAATAATGTTCACCAATGAATAGTTTAAAATAAGACAAAAAAATATGCATTAAGAATGTTTTAATTTTATGTTTACTTCACAAATAAATTTGATTGACAGAAAGTGACAGATAAATGACAGAAAGTGACCGATAAGTGAAGAATAAAGGAAAGAAAGTCAGGACTGCCAGGCTGTGTGTGTATAGACACAATGTTTGGATGTTATTTCAAACCAACCATTTTATATTTAGCATTTCCAGTAAAACTCATGCCTGAACTTGTTGAGCTAAATTTGCTCCTGTGTTTTTAAGCATGAAAATGAATCTGAAGATCATTTGTCAGAGTGGTGGAATCTGTTTCACCCCATCATATTAATACTGACTATAGTGTGGCAATTTCTGTTGAATGGCAATCACCCCATTAGTTCTTTGAGGGAAAAAATATAATAAAATATAATATTTATTCAATATATTAACACTAAAATTTAATAAAAAGTTGAGTTTTTTAAGAATAGAAATCCAAAAAGTGACCACAAGTGGTTAGAGCATAAAAAGTAGGCAAAACGTCCCAATGAATACGGATTTAGGTACAGGTTCTCGATGCCAACATCCAGCAGTTTAAAAAAAACCTCAGCTGTTAAGAGTCCCAGGACTCAGCAAGACCATTATCGGTTCAAGAGTCAACTCTACCCATTAAGCTTATTCACCTCAATACAGATACTGTATCTGCCCTT